ATCGGACTCCATTTCGGGTCCATCTCAGACTCCATCTCGGACTCCATATCGGACTTCACTTCGGGTCCATCTCGGACTCCATATCGGACTTCACTTCGGGTCCATCTCGAACTCCATCTCGGACTCCATATCGGACTCCACTTCGGGTCCATCTCTAGAGCCTCGCTTATGGCTCGCTTCGTGCTCATTCCTCGAGCACTTTGTTGGGAGTTCCACTCCTGCTCTCGACCTTTCAAGTCGGAGCTTTTAGTCCAAATGTGTTACACTCGTTTGGCTTTCGCTTCGGCCACTACCACGTGGCGCCCTTCCAGCTCCACTTTGGGGCCTATGGATTTTGTGTCTCACAACACCCTCGCTATCATGCCCTTTGTGTTAGTCTCATTCGGTCTTAAATGCTATTTATGAAAAGTGTCTAGATTTGCTCATTTGACATATTTACGGAATGTAGAGATTGTGCTGAACACCATGGTGTTCGTCTCGTGTCCAAATTCACAATCTAGCACCATTCCATATTTAGTAAGTTTCAAGCTTGTCCCAGAGACTAACTCCTGATACAAAGGGAGGCTTGGGGTGAAAGCCCAAAGCGTGTGTTCCTCAAGGGGGGGGGGGGGGGGGGGGGGCTATGAGGGGTTCCAAAAGTATAGTAGGGATAGTGGGTAGGTTGGGCATGGCTGACCAATCTGAGGCATAGTTTAGCTCCTGCTTGTGTGCCTGTCCTTGTTTTACGTCCGGCTTAGGTCTTAGCCCAAGTTCCATACCATGCTAGTTGGTGGGGTACCCATATCCTCACGTTAGGCCACCGGTATGCCGAAATAGCGCCAGACTCCATTTGGCTCCATTTTGCGTGCTAGTCCTAGCATTGGGATGCTAGATACTCTAGGACTGTTCCAAGTCGCTTCGTGCCCCTGTCCCTTCGCTCCTTGGGCTGCATGCTCGGGAGTTGCTCCGTGGTTCAGTTCCATCACTCCTTGGCTCCATGCTTGGGAGTTTTTCACTGTTCCTTCGTTCAGTGGCCCAAGGCCCTGAACCTCGGGTTCCACACCACTGTCCTATGGACACGTGGCATGTGACATGTGGCATATGTCACGTGGCATAAAGTGGGTTTAGGTTCCGCTTCGTGGTGTTATCCTATGGTAAATCACCATAGGATAAAGGGTAAAAACCACATGCGCTACAGCGTTGCTGAAGTCATCAACGTCATCTTTCATTTGGTCTTCGGATTGTGAGCCGGTGTTCAGGGATCTCAAAGAGTTATTGACAACTCCTCCGGTTTTGGCATATCCTGACTACACTCGACCTTTTATTTTGCGCATGGATGCTTCTGACATTGGTCTTAGAGGTGTGTTAATGCAAGAGAGCTCGAGTGTGCCTGGTCAGCGCCATCCCATTGCATATATAAGCTGTACATTACAACCAGTGGAGAGGAACTACTCCACGACAGAGAAGGAGTGTTTAGCAGCAGTCTGGGGTTTCGAGAAACTTCATGCATATCTATATGGTTCTCGGACGTTACTTGAAGGTGACCATGTTGCTGTTACTTCGTTATTGAAGCGGAAGAACCTAGTTGGTCGTACTACTCGGTGGGCTTTGAAACTTCAGATATATGATTTTGATGTTGTTCATTGCCCAGGGAGTTCTATGGCTAATGCTGATGCCCTTTCTCGAGCTCCTCTTCCTTCTCCACTCTCTTCTCATGTTTTTGACAAGCCTGTTGTTCCAGCATCTGTGGATTTTCTAGACGAGGATTCTGTGCTATCAGCAGTTGCTATACTTGACGTTCAGTGTCCACAAGGTGCATAGCAAAATCTACCTTCACTTGATGAGGTTCGCGAGGCTCAAAAGCTTGAGCCGTGGATTCGAAGGCTTCGAGATGGGTTTGAGAATCCTGCATCACTTGCTGATGACTTGCCTTTCCGACATTTACATTCTCAATATCGCCTTGAAGATGCCCTTCTTTGTTTTGTGGGGACGGATCCTGATGATCATTTACGGCCGGTGGTGCCTTCTATCTTTATTCCATAGTTTTTCCATGCTTACCATGATTCTCCTATTCTAGGTGGGCATATGGGACATCATCATGTAATCGAGAAGCTGCGTAGGTCTTTCTATTGGGCGGAGATGCGATGTGATATTATCCGGTACGTGCGTAACTGCGTTTGGTGCCAAGCTCGTAATACTCCCCCTCGGGCTGCAGAAGGACGGTTGGAGTCAATTGCAGTTTCCCGTCCGTTTGAGTTGGTGGCGTTTGATCTTATGGGACCTTTTCCACGGTCGACTGCTAGCAATGAGTATGTTATTATTGTTTTTGACTATTTGACTTGTTGGGTGGAAGTTGGTGCTCTTGCTAGCACCTCTGCAATTGCTGTTGGATACTTCCTCCTCAATCGAGTGGTGTTCCAGCATTCTTGTCCAGAGTGGATTCTTTCGGATAATGGTCCCACATTTATGGCTGAGGCATTTCATGTTTTGACGTCTCAGTTGGGGATACGCCACACTTTCACGAGTGCTTATCATCCACAATCAGACAGTCTGGTGGAACAGCTCGTTCGGACATTCAAGGGGATGATTGTGAAGTATATGAACTTTCAGCATTTAGATTGGGATGGTTATTTGCCATCTCTTCGGTATGCATATGTCACTAGGGTGCAGAGTTCTATTGGTGCTTCACCATATAAACTCCTATATGGTCATGATCCAATATTACCAACAAAGCTGGGTTTACCTTCTCGATTGCCACAAGCTGCGGATGCTAGGTCATGGGATTAGTATTTGACGAGCATTCTTCCACTTGTCCGAGCGGAGTCTGCCGAACACTTAGGCCGCGTACAAGTGGGACAACAACGGCGGTACAACTCCCATCATCGTCCACCTGCGAAGTACAAAGTGGATGATTTGGTGTTAGTCCGTTTTCCCCATCTTACGGTACGTGGTTTATCTAAGGGGCTCCTTGCACAGAGGATCAGCCTGCTGGACGTCATGCCGAACCGCATAAACTTATGGTCCAACTTGTCGCAACACCCAATACGGTCCTTTCCACTATTGTGCATATGCAGCGGTTAAAATGCTTCATACAAAGGGATCAAGAGCAGTTAATACCATCTACAGATCCGCCGATGCCTCCTTCTGACGTTCCTCCAGATCCTAGCCCGTCTACAAAAGAACCTTGATGGTCTTCCATTATTCCAAGAGGAGGGGATGATGTGAGGGCCAAGTGTACAACTACAATGCTGTATACTAATATTAGCATAGTGGGATTTTAGTAGCCGTCAGATTGGTTTCAATCCGGACCACTCGCTCTGTATATAAGCTAAGGTTTTTGGGCTAATTGATATGCACATTTCTGTATTCCCTTTTCCATATTCCATGCATTCACAATGTATGCTTACATCAATTTTTTAACCACCGAAGCTCTAGTCTAGGGAAAGGAAAACAAGTGCAAGAAGTACTTGATAAGTGTAGTGCACCTTATCTCTCTCCCCTTAAGCCAACTGGAAAAGGGGCAATTGCTTGATGAAAGAGCCCTTAGTGGCTATTTTATCCCCATTTATCCCCCAAGATTCCAAGGATCCACGGTGACAGTATATCCAAATTTCATCCCATGATCACATGCGCTAAAATAAGCTACTATCACAAACCCTTGGTGTGATCTTGAACTCCTCCGGTTCATCTTGAGATGCAGCTGGTTCTTCGATTTTGCTGGTTGGGGTTTGTGGGCACAAAAGGATTCAGTTTGCATGGATTTTTCCATAGTTTGGCATCTTTCGACCGTAGTAATCTTCGATACATGAGTCCACAGCCCTTATGGTTTCTTCTCGAAATGCATCTCTGCATGGTGTTTTGGCAATCAGTATTCGGTCGGAGCATGGTATGTACATACAGCACGGCTGAACTAGCATTGTACTTTGTTTTTGGAGAACTCACATCAACAATCAATGATCTCAGCATGATCGCTCTCATTCCTCACAACACCCCCAACATGTGCGATGTAGATAAAGAAATGCCGTTGCCGGTCCAAAGAGACAAAAGACGGAACCCTTGTTGAATTTGCGATCTTGAAGCATGTTGCCCTAGAAACTGATCTGAAGCCACAGTGAAAAGACTGGTGAATCGTAAAGCCATCTCCTGATGCAGGTTACCCTAGACACTGGGAATCCAGTGCTAGAGCCGAAAGGATGTCCGCTCGCTGCAAGATCTGCCACGGAATTCCCCAAAAGAACAATGAAACCCTTGCTGTGAATCTTGAAGCCATCTCCTGATGCATGTTACCTTAGACACTGGGAATCGCAAGCCATGACGGTCTTCCCCTTCAGAGGCCACTGGGAATTATGAAGCTGTCCTGTTTCGTTCCCAACGTTTTGTGTTGCGTTGGTCTCTGAATCATTAGTATAAAAGTTGCCTCTCCAACCTGACGTTGATAAAAAACCACATTCTCACAATTTTGCTCCGTCTACATATCCACGCTAGTACTATCATCCTCGTGCAGCTTCCAAATATCGCCGATAGTTCTATCATTAATATTCTTCACATCTCGAAAGACCATGCAATGGTCCCTACTTAAAGGCATCCCGGGCTTCTGTAGCAACTACAATTTGTTGATGCTCCTCATAAACCTGTGCGGCACTGAAGCCTCTCCGAAGACGCTCTTCAACCCACTTGATCTTCTGCTTTGATAGTCGTGGAGCTACAGTGGCAGAGATAGGAGCTGTAACATCTTCTGGCCCGTGACATATCCTTCCTTGAGCATCATCGTGTTCCATACAATAATACATAATCTTTGCCATTTGAAGACACAACACAAACATTTTGATGGAGAAGTTACACATGCATCCTCACTTGTTTGTTTCCCCACATTGCACTTTCCTCTTCCTACTTCCAGGACCCTGTTTTGGTTTTTCCGACGAGGTGGGTTCCCACTCATTCCCCCGATGATCATCAGGCCCAAAGCCACACCAGTACTTCTATTCTGCAATGCTGTATTAGGAGGGGTTAGGGTTTAGGAATTACGAGGCGAGCTGTGTCACAAAGAGAGGCAAGTGCTCCCATTCAATATCAGGAGCTAGATTAAAGAACAACCACTCTAGATTTGGAAGACTGGCAGCCAAATCATCCTTGAATTCTGACTGTCCAATGTGTAAATTAGTAAGACCCAGATCTCTAAGAAGTGTGAATGATCCATCCAGGTTGAACAAGTGGATACCACCGCAGTCAATGTCAAGTGTTTCTAGGCGGTGGGGCAACCATTCAAAGCTGTCATCACTATTTTCACTGTCTTCTACCGATGTAAAACTGTTGAAGCCTGATTGAGTTCTTAAACATTCGCTTCAAGGGAGCTCTGCTGACGGACTCCACATCAATTTCACATGTTGTTAGGTTGATAAGTTGCCATCGTCCAACGACACTGGCAAATGCGATGCTGTCTGCCCATAAAACCAATGTTTCAATGCTCCAGTGTCCCCATGCTTTCTGGCACCTTCATTGTACCCTGTGTCATTTCTAGATTTAAATGTCTTAGTTTACGTGAAATTCCAGTCAAATCCAAAACTGATGAGTCCTCTTTTGAACTAACATTCAGCCCCAGCTCTTCCAAGTCGGAGAGCTGGGGCAGTAATGCAATGTTACACTTCATCGGCATCCACCGGGTAGTACATTTTAGATATTTCAGTGATGTCAGGCTGAAAAGCGCATCTGGTAATTCACTCACTTCTGTTCCTTGAATGTCAAGCACTTGAAGGTTTTTCAGCTTGGATATGCTCTCTGGAATAAAACGCATCTTAGAGCATCGCCACAAGCTCAATACCTTGACACCTTGTATGTGATTGATGAAACTGTCATCCACATTAGAAAGTCCTTCACATTTATCCAGAAGTAAGACATCACGCACATGATTATCGGATAGAAAGCTGCCAACATTCTTTGAGATGAATGAAACTTCAGCAAATGTTGCATCCCGAATGCCAATTGTCCAGTCATATCCGAACAGGCATCCCTTCTCGTGCTCTTGCTGTGAACCGTACTTCCCTTTTAAGATTCTTATGCACAGTTTGCGTAGCATATCGTGTACAATTATACGATCATCGTCATCCCAAGACTTATTTATCTTGACCAGGCATCTCCGTTCCAGTTCATTGACAATCGCTGTGGGTGAGAGTTCTGACCCAACCTCCATCCAACATTTCCTCAAGTCAGTGAACTCAATCTCCTCGTCTTCTGGGAATGCGGCCACATAAAGAAACCACTCTTGCAAGCTTTTCACCCTCATAGTTTCCCAGCTCGTCATAGCTGAACTTCAAGCGCTTGAACATCTGCTTCTCAACGTCTGGGTCATTGGACAAGTGCAACCTCTTATATCATTCTTCCCACACAAGTGGCCCTTCTCTTCTGTGGACAGCCATGGCACTGCCAATCACTTCCAGGGCTAGAGGAAGTCCCTCACATTTTTGAGCTATTTCCTTGGCAAATCCCACAACATCAGGGTCACTGGGTTGTGGATCATGCACACCGAAGGCAAACTTCCAAAACATCTTTTTGCTTTCGTCCATTGATAGCTGATGCACAGGAAATGCCTTTGCATCCAGGCTGCGCAAAATGCCTTCCTTTCTGGTTGTCACCAGGATCCGGCCAGAGGATGGCTGTGCTATAAAATCCAGTTCCTTTGCCCAGCTCCAGTCCCAGACATCATCCAGTACCAGCAAGACACGGTTACCAGCAGCAACATCGTGTGCCAAGTGCTTCATGTCGTCAAGGGTTCCTCTGGCCCTCTCTTTCATTTCACCCCATTCAAGAGCGTTGAGGAGCTGGGCCTTGAGATCGTCCTCCGAAGCATCTTTCTTCCATAGTTGCAGCTAGACATGCAAATGTTCCAACAGGTCGACGTTTAAACGCCGTTTAAAACGTTTTTTTCAGGACAATCCAACATTTACATGTTAAAGCCTAAAATGATTAAGAAAACACTAATATTTACTAAAGACACTTTAATCTGATATTAAGTTTATAAAACCTAACCAAATAACATACTAAAACAAATGAAAGAACAAGTTTTAGTCGTCTTCCGATTTGGTTCCTCAAAATCTTCTTGCAGATCCAAAATCCTCTTCCAATGAGGCTCCAACTCCAGCTTGTCTATATCAATCTCCAACATCCTCAAACCTTCACTCTCCAGCTTTTGAGCAACCCGCAAGTTTGTGTGAATGTAAACCAGCTTCTCAACATTTGTGGGAAGCAAGTGGGACCTATGCTTTGTTTGTATCAAGCTCCATGAGCTCTAATTCCTCTCGCATGGAAAAGCACAAACAACTTGGCTTAAAATCCGGAGAGCCATGCGACGTAGATCAGGCATCTCTAAACCAAAAGAACTCCACCAGGTTACTGGAAACTTTCTAGTCTCCCGATCTTTGGCAACAGGTAACCTTATTTGCCGTCCAAGTTGTTGCCGAAACCTCTCAAACTGTGCCTGCAATCTCAGCTACAAGTCCAGATCACCTCCACTATAAACATGCATGTACTCCAGCCAGTTCCCGCGTGCCTCATTGTCCAGCTTGTCGTTCTCCGGGTTATCCCCCAGAAACAGAGGATGAAGAGCAAAAGCAGCTCCATGAATGACGTTGTGCATTTGATACCACCTTGCCTCCTTTAGACCATGTGATTCAAGTAGGAAATCCTTGATTTGTCCCACTTCCTCATGTGCATAAATTCCGTTTCGAGCTCCCTCATCCATCTTCTCAATCAGCCGATCAACAGCTTCAAAGATGAGGCTTGAAGTCGCCCCCTCCCGATCAGCGAGCCGAAGAACTCAAAGTAAAGGTCCGAGCAAAATTAACAAATTCTCGCACCGCTCCCAGAACGAGTCATCGAGAACACGAGATCGCAACTCCAGGCCCTCCGGCTTTTTAGACCAGTCAAGTCGCTCCCATTCTTGGCTCACCACCATTCTTCGAAGCCCAGAGAGATTCGTGGTCTCCAGAAGCTGAGACATCACGAGAAATATAAGCAAACCTCGTGGTCACAAGCTTTATCAGATCCTGTTTGCAGAAAGTTCTATAAAGAGTTAGAACCCGTGGCTTTGAGGTGATGAAGGAGTTGTCTTCGCACAGCCATCGACCAAAGGCTGCACCCAAGACAGAGCTCCAATATCTTCGAACAGCAAGTCCATAATGTGGCAAATGCAGCGAACGTGTACAATCTGTGGAAACTCCTGCTGCAAAAGCTCCCCCATGACCACGCAGTTGCTTGCATTGTCCGTCACCACCTGCACAACGTTTTCCGTGCCAACCTCGGCAATCACTTGTTTCAGCTGCTCAAACAACCATGCTCTAGTTTTTTTCGCGTTCTTGCTGTCCACAGCCTTCAGGAAAATTGAGCCTCTCACAGAACTGACCATGAAGTTGATAAAAGACCGCTTCTTGATATCAGACCAGCCATTCGTGACAATGGTACAACCATATGTCCTCCAACTTAGCCGCACATCTTCAAGCCACTTCTGAACGTTGTTGTAGATTTGTTGTAGCTCAGTTGTCCGCAACTTCTCATATCCCATGAGGTTGTCAATCATTGGACGCCCCACTTTTGCGGCAACTTTCAGCATTCTCT